TGCATTTCCCTCCCTTCCCCCCCCCCATTTTTGATCCCATTCCCCACTCCGCCCCCACAGAATTTTTAACAGACAGCTTCTTAATGCTGTTCTTTAACCCATCGTGCCAGGGAGGGCCTCCACCACTTTGCTTTTAGATTGTAACATGTTAATAAGAATTGGGGACAGTGTAGGACAACCAAGGATATTTTTAAGCAACTGGATGGATCTTGGGGACTTTGTTCCCTTTGGTCACAGGTGAGTAGAAGAGGAAAACAAAGTTATTTCAGAATCACTTTCCCGTCGGGACTGTGTCTCCACTTTTGGGATATACTTCTGAATTACAGAACAAAAGGAGACATAATCACCAAGAGCTATGTTCAGAATTAGATGAAAATGGTCTGAGAAGGTGAGGCCTTCTGAGGGGGCTGCATGTCCCTTTTTTCTTTACTGTGTCAGTGCCCCCACTGCTGCCCGGACTCCACGCTTGGCCCCTCTTGGAGGATATTTTGCAGAGACCTGGTGTGTGACTGTCACTCTCAGGATCTCAGGACATTGGATGTTCTGCAGGGCCAGGTACCTGGAGTCTGTACCCGGCAGTAGCAGTGTCATTAATGATTCTTGCACAGATGAAGTCCCCTTCGTGACGCTCCCTTGTTGATGTTCCTTGACTCTCCAGGCTCGAGGTGAATGAGAGCTCATGTTCTCTTTTCAGGTGACTCTGGACCTGTGGGAAGACTTGGGTCTCTGCAGAGAAGGGCAGAGGGAATGGGTCATCCAGAAGATCCACGAGTCCCAGTTCATCATTGTGGTGTGTTCCAAAGGCATGAAGTACTTTGTGGACAAGAAGAACTCCAAGCACAAAGGAGGTGGCCAAGGCTCAGGCAAAGGGGAGCTCTTCCTAGTGGCCGTGGCCGCCATCGCCGAGAAGCTGCGTCAAGCCAAGCAGAGTTCTTCAGCGACACTCAGCAAGTTCATCACTGTCTACTTTGATTATTCCTGTGAGGGAGACATTCCCAGCATCCTGGATCTGAGCACCAAGTACAAGCTCATGGACAACCTTCCCCAGCTCTGTTCTCACCTGCACTCCAGAGACCTTGGCCTTCCAGAGCAGGGACAGTACCCTGGACATGTCAGCAGGAGGAATTACTTCCGGAGCAAATCGGGCCGGTCCCTTTACGTCGCCATTTGTAATATGCACCAGTTTATTGACGAGGAACCCGACTGGTTTGAGAAACAGTTTGTTCCCTTTCATCCTCCCCCACTTCGCTACCGGGAGCCAGTCCTAGAGAAGTTTGACTCGGGCTTGGTTTTAAATGATGTCATGTGCAAACCAGGAACTGAGAGTGATTTCTGCCTAAAGACTGTGGTGGCTGTCCCGGGGGCCTCGGCCGACATGTACTCAGAGGGTCAGCAGTTAGGCCTGGACGAAGATGCGGAAGCCCGGCCAAACCCGGAAGGCAGCTCTGTCCTGCGGCCCCTGTTGCACACGGTGAAGGCCGTCAGTGCCTCAGACATGCCGCGGGACTCGGGCATTTACGACTCATCTGTGCCATCTTCTGAGCTGTCCCTGCCCCTGATGGAAGGACTCTTTACAGACCACACAGAAACGTCTTCCTTGACTGGGAGCGTGTCCTCCTCCTCAGGCCTGGGTAAGGATTGGGGAGCTGAGCGCCCTTGGGGCGGGTTCCTGGCCTGGGCTGAGCCTCCTCCGTCCATAATTCCAAAATCTCCGGAAGTAGTTTTTTCTATTTTGGTGCAAACTCAAAGTGCAGTAAAACCTTATGAGATGTAACACAGCTCCTTTGAGAGTCTCGGTTTATCGTAGGTAGTAGGGTTACTTGCATGTGTGAGCTGTACAAATACTGATGCCAGATTATGAGGAGCTGCCCAACCCCCACTTGGGACTTTATGTAACATACAATATGTGTGTTATAGGCACCTTTCCAGACTGTAAACATCCCAACCAAAACCCTAACAAACACCCAACTGCCAGCACATCAGGCCCCAAGGATATTGGATGAAGCTTTGCGTTCCTGTATCTCTGTTGGTGCCGGTGTGGTCTCTATCCTCTCAGTGCCTTTAAAGCCACATTTATTGGACTTGGGGTTCACATGGCTCAGTATTCTCCCATCAGAGCTCAGCACAAGACCCAGGAACGAGGGCGCTGTAGGAGGTTCCCACCTCCCAGGGAGCTCAGTAGGGCGCCTCGCCTTGCTGCCCTGGTGACTCATTAGTCATGCATACACACCCTTGACCCTCAACTAAGGGAACTGGAACCTGTTAGCAGCCTGAGAGTGGTGCTGTCTTGAGCTGGTTAGAGTATCTGCCTCACCTGGCTAAGCTGGTAGTTCAGATCCAGGTCCAGCCACAGGCGGGCCGGGCCCCTGGCCTAGTGAGGTATACTGACCTGTGGCTCTACCCTCTATTCTTTCCTTAGGTGAGGAGGATCCTCCTGCCCTTCCTTCCAAGCTCCTCATCTCTGCGGCTTGCAAAGCAGAACCTGGTTGCCTCAGCTACACTGATGAACTCCATGCGGTCGCCCCTTTGTAACAAAACAGAAGCAACTAAGCATTGCCACTTTAGCTTCCGCCTCTCTGGTTCCCAGCTCATCTCTCTGGTGTGTGACCCCCCCTGGAGTGGAGGTCTTCCGCAGGATATTCAGAGTGAAATTCATGCCAGTACTTGCTCCTGCCCTCTACCAGATATCTTGGCAAAGTCTTCGCTCTTCTTAAACCAGTTGGAGTTCTCAAAGTCTTGTCCATAAGGTCTGATAACAGCTTGTTAGGTCAGTCCTTGGATGAGAGCCAATTCTGGGCGATGGGGAGGAATATTGTAACAAGAAGCAGAAAAACACTCACCCCTATCATTCAGAATTTATTTTATCTCCTCTAAGTTTGCCTGTTTGTTGGTGGCTACTTTGATTTGAAATGCTTTGAGTGAAAAACACTTTTAATGCCAAAACAGCCACAGAAATCAAGTGCCAGTTTATCTATAATCCATGTCATTACAGTGATGATTCTGTCCATTTGGGGCATAGAACTTATGATGCCATGGTTGTTAAAAAAGCTGTGAGTCCAAGATCAAGAAGGTGACTGAAGACATAATTGCCTTTTATAAAACATATCGGTCATGGTTGGTGGAGAGCTGGCTGAGGTGGTGCAGAGCCAGCCGACCGTTCTTGCTGAGATGGGTTGGTCAGTGTGCAGAAGGCACCAGAACTCTGCAGCCAATGCCTCTTGATTCGAATAGTTATCATGAGCATGAGAGAGGGCTGACCTGCCTGCCAGGATCCCTCTGGGTGACGTTTACTGCACAGTACATTCAGATGATGGTGCCCAGAAGTTTATTAAGACACATTTACTCAACTGGGCTATATTACTGGAAATTGCAGTTCCTACTTCAGTTGGCTGCTGTTCTAAAGCTGTGCCTAGAAATTTGGGGGTCAGAATCCACTGAAATATGGCAGCATGTGGAGGTGACAGCCAGTTAACCTGCTGAACTGGTTCGATCAATGATGGACCTCATTTTAAGAAGTTGAAAAGAAGGGGACCAGGATGAATGTACTCTTTGAATATTAGCTAAAGAACACGTGGACCTGAAATCACTAAATTTTAAATCTCAAAGGACCCTACCCACACCACAGTCTGTGAATCATGTTTCACCTTGTGTTTCTATTGTCCTTATCCAATGAAAGAGTTGTCTCTTATGCTCCAGCCTACCGAGGGAAGAATTTGCTTTAAAATGGAGAAAACAGTGTCTTTTTTTTTTACCCCCCTTGATGACTTCTCTACAAATTTGTTTCCAACATGAAAGCCACTCAGATCCTCTCTGTCAGTTAGTATGTGTGTAAAGCTGTCTTGGTTTCACTCATGGGCCCTGTCCCCACCTGTCCCGGGGGTCTGAACATCTTCATCTTTCTTGGGGGCGCTGTTGGCTTTTGGTGTTGTTTCTCCAACACAGTGGGGACAGTGGTTTTCATAACCACCAAGTAGCACCAGTATGAGGGGAGTCCCCGAGAAACATCCTGAGAAGGTGGGTGGAAGGTGGGATGGGGCAGGATTTTTCCCCCCTAAATATATGCTGGAGAAGTGGGAAAGGGACATTTGGCATCCTAGCTGGCAAGAGGAGGTCTGTGTGTATTTTTGATGTAGATTCCATACTCCGTGTTCATAAAGGCAGCTGGTAGCTTCTTGGGAAAAAAGGACGTGCTCGTCTGTGCTCTGGCGTCAGGTTTCCTGCAGCTGCTGGGGAGCACATGAGCTACAAGAATGGTCTCCCCCAGAAACCCAGGCGGCTTGTGGAAGAGACGTTCCATGTCGTCGTGGTAGAATCCAGAATGAGCACAGCACTGCCCGTGTGCCAGCGTGCTGCTGCTCCATCCTGGGCACGTGTGATATGAAGGAGAGTGGGCAGTGCAGACCTGCTGACATCTGGAAGGTCGCTTTGAAACATCATCCAAGACAGTTCTCCTTGAGGCCAAGAAGTGGCGTTTGTCTCAAGAAAATCAGTTGCAGCCATCTTGAGGGTGGCTACTCAGCTTTCCATGTGAAATAAGGCATCTCTGACAAAGTAGCTGCAGGACAAACTGGAGGAGTAGGGCTAGGAGTGGGAGCACAGGCGAAGGGCCAGCCTACCAAGTAATGAAGCCACAGTGTGAGTGTCGAACTCAGACTACGTCGAGAAATCCAACTTCCTGCTTTTGCCTTCCTAGTTGTGCTTCTCATTCCGGGCAACAAGAGCGGGTATATTGCAGACTAAGGCAGAACGTCTGGCGGTGCTACATATTTTGACTCACACATCTTCCTGCACAGTGGGAATGGTAAGGAGTTATTCAGATAAAAGACCTGTAAGTCCCAAGCTTTTAGACATTAGAGAAGTAAGACTATAAGGGTAAACGCAGTGAAAGGCCTTGATTCCATGAGTAAGTGACAGGTGGCTAAGTTAAATGATGCCTTTGGGCAGGAGGCCAGGGATAGGACCAGAGAGTTGAAAGTGGAGGGGGGAATGATCTTATTCCTGACAAAGGAATGACACACCCTTCTTCCAAAAGAAAGATAACCCCACAGTCCTCAACCACACAGTTTGGCTCTCTTTAGGAGCCAGGAATTGTACTCTGTGTCTTTATTGGAGAGAGGTGGACAAATTCCACTGTGAAGGTTGTTAGCTATTTCAAGTGGGGTTGGGTGTGAGGACTTCACTCTTGTTGGGAAGCTGTGATGCCTCTAGGGACACCAATGGCACAGACCAGGTGTCGGGAAAAGAGCTGTATGATGATACATGGCAATGATTAGTCTTTGTCAGAGACTCCAGAATGGTGGGACTGCAGCACAGTGAAGCACTCCTGTGGGGGCCCGTTGAGGTCATGCATTGTTTCCTGGTCTTCCTGTGGTTTTCAAGAGAAGCTGAGAATCTTGATTCTTTTTTTTTTTTTTTTAAGATTTATTTGTGCATACAGAACTGGGGTACAGGCCAGAGGCTCAGGGGCAGCGAGAGGCTTCACCAGAGACAGAGTGGGGAGCAGAACAGGCAGATCGAGGAAGTACACTGCTGAGGGGAGCAGCGGGCGGGTCAGGAGAGGTCTGCCTGCCACGTGGTCACCTCCAGGAGGGAATCGAGCTCTTGCGGAAGTGGCTTTTGCTTTTCAGTGCTGTGCTATAACCCGCTGCACTACCAGGGAGGGCCAAGAATCTTGATTCTTATGAAAAATTCTGATGTTCAAAATATTGGCAACTAAATTAAAAAATTTTTAAGTGTGTGCAGGCCTTATGGTGCCTTGGGTGGACCTGATTGGACCCACAAGCTGCCTGTTTACCACCTCTCTGCTATAAGATTTGAAAGTTATCCATGGTAATTATAGACAGTTTGGTGCCACCAGAAATTGCTTTTACCAAATGCAGCCAGTAACTGGAGTGCATCTTTCTTCCTGCTCCCCCAAAGAAACCAGTATGATAGTAAATGTATTTTAAATGTTTTAATTGCTTCTTTATATTTTGGGGTTTCAATAGAAAGGCAAGCTAATTACTTGCTTCAAAATCAGATTTGTTTTCCCAATTAAAAAATTAGACCTTTGGAATGATTTCTTTTTAAGATCCACTACCTGAAAGAGCTTACTTATATTTTTAGCTTTTGGCTAAATAATCTTTCAGATGATGTTAATTCTGAGTGTAGCCCAAGATGCAAGGAAAGTAGGTGTTGTGTGGGGTGTGTTGTGGAATGTGGGGCAAGGATTGCCCAGTGCCCACCGGAGCCAGGTATTTACAGTGCCTTGTATTTTCATTGATAATGAGTCCACTTTGTTTTGGACTCTGTTTTGGAGGTAGCAAACCATTCCTGGAGAAAAAATTTTCCTGATCATGAGATATCAGGTGTCCCTATGTATGGGGTATTGGATCAGGCTTGCTATATATATTACCTCCTCTTCAAGCTCAGGGTGAAAATGAACAAAAGGAAGTGTGACAGTAAGCCAGAAGTTTTGATTCTGATTTCAGAGTTTGGGGCCTGGGAGAAAGTTTGGATTATCTAGCATGTAATCTGGCATCAGACCGGGCTGTCTCTGAGTTATTTCAGACACATGGCTGTGGATGGGATTCTGGATCTTCAGCAAAGGAGATTGGATAACCTACCCTGCTGATCAGATAGTTCTTTGTAAGTCTTCCTTATAGAAATTCAAACCAGCCTTTTGTTTGGCGTGAGTGGAGAAAGAACAGCTGGTCACCTTCCCTGCAGTGAAGTCATTCCCCTGGTGTTTTTATTTCAGTGATAAATAATCCCACCTACTTAAACCATTCTTCATAGCTCTTGTTTTCCAAGGACCTAGTAATTTTCACTGCTATTTTGTTTCTCAGATTCACACTTAGTTTAGTTGCCCAAACAGAATGTGGTGCCTTAGTCACACTGGTGCCTTGTTAAGACCACGCTCTGGATGAGGATTACAGGGAAATGCTGGTGCCTAGCGGCTCTTACTTAAAAATGGCACTTTTAAAAAAAAATGGTGTATCACCTGTGTTCATTTGGAGGCTTTTTGGATTACATTTGGACTTTTCTTGAGCCATAGTCCTCTATCACGTGCTATTTCCCCTTCTTGTGGTCAAATACTCGGTGCTTATTCCTGATGTCTTTATTCTTGAGCTTCTTCAAGACTCAATCTTGTGTTTTGAGTGGCTCCTTCCCAATTTTGAGTTCTATTGCTTTAAATTCATGACATACAGTATTATTAAATGGTGCAGATTTCAGTTTCATTGCTGGCCAGAGAGGCAAGGGGTAATTTGCAAAGAGGGTGAGTGGAGGACCTCTTGGGAATTCTAGTCCGGTGTCATCCTTCCTGTTCTTTGGCTTCACCTCCAAATTTAGTTAGGAGCACACATTCCTCCAGGAACTTTTCCTTATTCTAAGTGGCTGGAGCCATGGCTCTGAATCGACCAAGCACTGTGTTTTGTGGTAAAAAGTTTGACAAAAGCAAACCATTGGGATTGCATACCTGATGTTTATTGAATAATAAGATTTCAGTTGCAAAGATTCAGGTGAGGAATCTTCTGTTTGTACATGGTATAGACAAGCTGGCTGCTCCGTTTGTTAGACATAAATATCTTCGGATTACACTAATGTGTAATTGTCTTTTAAAGAAAAAACTGTGATGAATTTGGACAGAGCAGAAACTTTTGTAAAAACCAAATGAGTTCATTTAGAGAGTAGGCGTAACTTCTACTTTCACTGTTAGCTTTTCCTCCCCTGCCGAGCCCCAGCCCCATTACTGTGTTTTAGGAGAGGGAGCCTGTGGAACTTGTGGTTATTCCCATTGTCCTTGTTTCATCTTTTAAGTTTGTCCTTGGTGGGATTTGGTGGAATAGTGAGCACTGACAGACTGCAGCAGTGTGCTAGATTTTTTTTTTTAATTGAAAATGTTAATGTCGTATTTGATTTGTACATAATTCTGTAAATAGGTGACAGTAGATCACAGCTGATATTTGCAAAATGTTTTTGTACCTTAGAATTTCTGCATCAAATAAAATGTTTTGTTCTAAGAGCGCAGTGGTTCATTATTCTACATCACGTGCCCTGTATGAACTGGGGTTCCCAGTTTTCTCCAGGCTCCGCCTCAGAAGAGAAGAAATTACTGAGGATTGGGAAGTGAACGTGTCCAGAAGCACTGCACTGTAGAGAAGAGGGCCCTTTGCCTGTCTCCATTTGCCTCACCCTCCCATGTGGCGTCTGCAGCCGGGGCAGAGGTTACCATCAAGAAGAAATTTGGACCTTCTTTGCAGAAATTTGAAAAGAGCCAACGATGTTTGAGAGCTACAAACAGATTTCCTGTCATTCAAACAGGTGCCTGTTCTAACATTCTTACCTCTGCGCCCCATGCTCTGCTAACGTCTTGCTACTCATCAACTTTGGGGTGAGTTGTGACCCTGCAAAGACACCCTTTGGGCCTGGGTTTCTTATGTCTGGAATGGACCCATCAGAGTGCCTACTTCACTGGGTGGTGAATTGGAACAGGGTGGTGGATAAAAGTGCTTGCTGGCACACCAGTAGTGTGCAGACAGTGGCAGATACGCAGGAGAGTACACGAGGGGTGACAAATAGCAAGGGTAGAAACAAGCCACAGGATTCTGGCATTTTCCAAAAGGCTGTGCAGAAGTCATGAGTCTTAGGGACATGTAAGCTAAATAATTGGGGTTTCCTTGTTTACTCTTCCCTCTCCACACTCTCCTTTGAAAAGAGAAGTTCAGTTGACTGCCAAGATGAGAGAAATTGTTAAATCTTTGCCTCCTATCCTCGGCATATCCTTCAGTCTTCCTGTCCATGTTTGCCCAGGATACTCTTATCAGTTTGCCTGTTGATTTCTCTCCTGTGTTCTCTGCCACGCCTCCTAATTTCTGGGAGCCAACCTTCGATTGCCAGGTTCATTATATGCCATCATCTCATCTTCATAGTTACACACTGGATAATTTTTACCAAACTCATATGACAGATGAGGCTCAGAGAGGCTGGAACTGATGTCTGACCTCACAGCAGGCTGGTGGCACAGCCACGATATGAGCAGAGGCAAACCTTACCTGCAAGTTCATGTACCCACTTGATAAAGTCTAACCACCCAAGGAGAGGTGGACTTGTGCGTGTCCTTGCATGGTCAAAGGCACCGGAGGAGTTTCCTGTAACAGTAGTTGGGGCAGAGAAGAGAGGCAGCTTCTTCTCACTGTTGACACAGCTAGTTCTGGCAGCAGCTCTTAGCTCTTTCACTACAACCCAATGCAAGGTATATTAGCATCCTCATTTTTGAGATTCGGAGGCTTTGCTGAGGAGACAGGGTTAATAGCACTGAGATTCAGATTCCAAAGGAAGTATCCTCACTCCTAATCACTAGGCTCTATTATCTTTCAGCATCCCTTAAGATGGGAGGCGGCCTTGATGAGCAATGATGGTGACCTGTTAACCTTCTCAGTCAAATATTGATAGTAAATCTGACTCAGAGTTTCAGCAAATGGATCTGAAAGGACTCATTTTAAGAGTCCCAGTAGGCAGATGCTGTAGGAAGTCAATTCCTCTTTCACTTTCTTTCTATAAATAAAAGTTGCTGTAATTATTTATTAGTTTGAGGGCTGGGAAAGAAAGCCTCTGGATAGTATGAGAACCTCTCATTTTTACCCTGGTTTTAGAAAGGAGAATCTTTTTGCAGGTTGTTTGTTTGTTTGTTTGTTTTTAATGACACTTGTGGGACCTCACCATTGGTTTTACTTTGTTTTAGAAACTTCAGAGGTGACAAATATTAGCTTCCCCTAGTTGGCTTTCATTAGGATTTAAAAAAAAAAATTTTTTTTTGTTGACTCAGACTACAGATAAATAAGCTAAGTAGGTGACAGAGAGAAGAGACATAAAATGTGTTTCTGCTGTTCTGGGTTTAGTGGGTCTAAAGACTTAGCAGGGTGTTTTCTATCCCTTCTCCCCAACCTTCTCACTGCCCACAGGAACAAAACCAGACTTGGGCCAAGGGTAGGATAACTAGAGTATTCAAAGAAGGAAGTCAGAAATATGAGGTCCTCCCTTACCAATTGAGGCCAAATTCAAATGGGATTGAGGGCCATAATCTAGTATCAGGGAGCCTGGCTTCATGGACTCTTTCAGGAGGAGATGTTGCGTTGTCTTTCACATTATTTGAGAACATAAACCATGTACCGAGGCCCCAGCAATGGGTAAATGCACACACGTTTCCCAGCCCTTCTGACTCCTGATGTAGGAGACTGAGCACATTTAATTGCTTTTTTTTTTTTTAAGATTTATTTATTTATTCATATGGAACTGGAGTACAGGCCAGAGATGTGGAGGGTGAGAGGATTCACCAGGGACAGAGTGGGGAGCAGAACAGGCAGATCGACGAAGCACACTGCTGAGGGGAGCAGCGGGTGGGTCAGGAGAGGTCTGCCGCGCCATGTGGATCTCCTCCGGGGCAGGCGGGGATCGAACACATGTGGAAGTGGC